AGCAGGCTACTTCATGCACGTTCACGCTCAGGCATAGCCCTCCGAACCGTTCTTAAGTGGTACAGGTACAAGTGACATCACTGGCACGTTAGCTCGCCTATTAAGACGTCGGACTTTCGTGCAGAAGACCCGGGTTCGATTCTGGATGTGAACATAGTTTATTTAGAGTTTCTTTTTTACATTAATCGTATATTTTTTTACAGTAAGATTCCCAAATTTTTATTTGAGACTTGCCGAACGGCATTGAATTCACAGATAAAAAAGATGTGGGTTCAACTTTCATTTTGGAACAATTATTCAAGAGCATGCAGGAGGACTGACCCATCATAAACCTTTGTTGGCTGTGCTGAAGAGAAAGGTACAGAACCAAATTATTTAATTAATTAGCTGCGTGTTCTCCTGTCCTCTGGGACACACACACACACACACACACACACACACACGGAGCTAACTGTCTCAGTTGTTATTTTCGTTAAGGAGTGTGCACGTACAGCATGCGCGCCTCGTGTACGAGCCTACTATTGAAGCTGCCGTTACGCTTTTGGCCTGAGGGGGCAATCGCAAGCATAAAAATTCAAAACTCCGTAAAGTCCCTTTAATGTGTTTTCAATTATTCACCACATTTTTATTGTGACAACATTATATCACACTTCATAATATCACGTCTGTGGCAAACATCAATAAATTCTCTTTTCATTTTACATCTTTTACGTGTTGTTGTAGAATCGTTTCTCTTGATGTTGTTGCACAAACATGAGAGAAATGAAGCTTACAGTGGAGCCATTTTGAATCATTAGCCTGAGCTGTAAAGAGCCCACTGTAAAGTGACACTGCCGATCAATAACGCCGAGCTGGAGCGAGTGGCACCACTAAAACCTCTAATATCAGGCTACAAGAATCCTGGACAGTGAATAGATGCTGCTGCATTTGTGTATTGCTTATTTAATCCTGTGTGTGTGTGTGTGTGTGTGTGTGTGTGTGTGTGTGTGTGTGTGTGTGTGTGTGTGTGTGTGTGTGTGTGTGTGCGTGTGCGTGTGCGCGTGTGCGTGTGTGTGCGTGTGTGTGTGTGTGCTGTGATTCAGTGGTGCTGCGATTTTAACAGCAGGTTCTGGACAGGCAGTTTATTTTTGCCTGTCGCCCTGTGAGTGACGGTCCAATCAAGCCTAGGACGGGCTGTCGAGCCTGTCAGCCTGAGAAATGAGCGGCGATGGGAGTCAAAGACACAGACCAGAACCGAACCATGATGGACGGACCCGGCCACAGTAGTCACAAAGGCAAAAGTGGCTGAAACGAGGGGGGGAGGCAGATGAAATGGAAATAGGGCTAGAAAATGTAAAAAAAAAAAGAGCTGCAAACGCACAGATAACAAATTTACTGTGACAGTAAAAGATTCTTATTTGCCACTAGTTTGAAGTTTTTGGACAAACGTAACAATTGTCAAAAGGTTTATCGGGGCCTACATTGGAAAAAAATAAAATAAATAAAACTTTTTATTTGGGATTCCTGATATTACTTATGTACCATTATTATCGGCTGAAATTGGCATTAAGACAAAATACTGGAAATGATATGACTGTACAGGGAGCCTAAGTTGCACCAATCTACTTCTGGACCATGGGTCCCCGAAGAATGAAAAAATGAATGCAAGTCAATGGGGACAAAAAAGCTATTTTCTAATTTAATTTGTTAAGAGCCGTGGATTTCACATATGATGTCCATGAATTTTAAAGATGCATTTTGATGCCAAGATGCTTTTTGATCCAAACGGAGGCAAAAGCTATTTTAGGTTTGGTGTGAAAATATGTCAAGGAACATAAATACGCATCACTAAATTGATATCATCAAACCAGAAATGGAGAAAAGCAGAAGTAAAATGGCTGTAAGTTCTGTAAGTGGCTTCAAACCCTTCCTTCAGGAGGAAAGACCCACCGTATATCTGACCGTGTGCAAGTAGCAGCTACTCTAGGGGAAAGGAGATTCTGTGGTGACGTCACATATGCGATGTACCAACATCTGATTTGCAGTCATGCTAATTATGAACTTTACAAGCTGATAAATCTCAAAGTACGTACATCATTACTTTTCATTTAAATTACAGTGTACGATTCAGGGCGTAAGACAAAGCGGATTAGCAAATAACTATTTTAGCCCCGTTGACTTGCATTAATTTTTTCATTCTTCTGGGGACCCATGAGCCGACTGGAAAGGGAAGAGACTTAAGCTTGGTTTATGCTTGATGCATGTGCATTCCGCGTGGAAATGAGACGCGTGGTTGGAACGCGTCGGAACTTGGAGCGTTTATGGTTCCTTCCTACCTTCTGCAGCTTGTCTCCGCTGTGAGGAAATATTCTCTCAGACTGCAGGGGGCTGCATGAGGCTCTACAGCATGTATCCAACACTACAACATAATAGAAGTAGAAATCGCTGTTGTTTACAGCATGTTTTCACTGTGTCCTTGTCTTTTCCGACAGTGATAACAATTATTAAAAATATTTTGATCACGGTGATCTTCATGGGCCAAATACTAAAGATGTCTGTACTTACAAACCTCCACTACTACGAGCGCTTGCCAGTCCTCCATGATTTTCTGGCCAGGACTGTCCGCGGGGTTAGGAAATTTCCTAGGCGCGCGGTGCAGAAACCTTGGGCCGCGCGGATTGACATAATTTGGCCGTGCGGAGCCATGCGACCCTCACAGACGCGTCAAGCATACACCAACCTTAAGGCTCCCTATAGTTTAATTTTGGTGTAGAAAAATTAAGACAATATCAGCAATAAAGCCAATATTGAGCATATCCACTTTTTACATGTCTTGATTTCTACTTACCAATCCAGCGCATGAGTGAGGTGAGAATTTGAAGATATTTGGTCTTCTGAGCATTAAAGAAGGTGAAAGGTCCCAACAGAAGAGTGAAGACTCCCTGTCAAAAAAGCAATTACAAACATTGTTTAAAAACAAAACACAACTAAACCAAAGCCACAACGTTAACTACCACAGATGGAAAGTCAAGTTAAAGCAAGTAGAAAACTTTCCTCGCTGTCGACGGATGAGTCCTGCAGTTAAATGTCACCGACTCGTTAGAAGGCTGTAAATGTCAGAGCTGCACAGTCAGAGGTTGATTTACAAGCCATGCATGTAAACTGCTCTTTAAGATACTTTTAATCTATTTTTAATTGTTCCTGAGATTACAGAACATGTTTTAATTAAAAGTTACAGTGATCTCTGAGGCTGCAGTCTGGTGTTTTATAGGACCTGAGCTATTCAGCTTTTAGCCAGAAGATGAGACGGGAGATTTTAAATATTTTTGGTTAGAGACCTGAGGATGACGGAAAATAGCTTAAAACAAACATTTAAACACTAACTTTATGGGTCACCCAAAACCAATATATGACTAAAATATTAAAACAGATCCTCTCCATAAAGATTTTTATGTTTTTTTAACCTCTGGAAATTGTCCTAAACTTTGTGGCGTTAAAGGAACATGTTTACTAGGGATTCTACGATCCGATCGAAATCGGGTGCAGGATCAAATTTAGCTTTATAAAACAACAAATATGCCTTTTTAAATGCATCATGAGACAGATATTTACAATTAATTATTTCCATTAATTTTTAACTACATTTCTATGAATTTTCCCAGAAATTAATGGCAAAACCTACAAGTTGTCTCTTTAAGTCCCAGTTCACAGCAGCATCCCAAACAAAAACAGAGCCGGCCAACAGTGAAAGATACATTAATAAACACAAAGAAATTGCAGAAAGACAGCAAAACACTGTGGTTTCTCTTTCTGCAGTACCTGAGCTGACCACGGGTGCTGTGCTGATAAAAGTTAGCCTGCTGGCCACGGCGCCACATTCCTGCCCCATCACGGGAATGTGCATGACTTAATACAGTCGCATAATGAGGATGTAAACAGTTTGAAATATGAGCAAATCTGCTACTTTTAAATATTTTCATAATAAGCAGGTTTTTTATCAATATACTTCCTAAAGTAGTGATGTTTCTCGGCAGATAAACTAAGGAAATTACATGAAAACAGAAAGAAAGAAATTCCCAAATAATAAGAAAAAAAACTAAAGGAAAACATCTTTTCCCTTTTTTCTTCTCAGGGATCTTCAGTCAGAACAGGAGATATTAGGAGATGTTTTTTTTACAGCAAAGTGATGGAGATGTCAGGTGTAAGGCCTTCATAAACACATAAAGATAAGAAAATACATGATTTTTAACTGTAATAAAAGATCTCTGCCAAAACAATGTCATAATTCATTTTTAGGTCATATTTGCCCAACTATTAAATATCATTTTACTTTTCTTGCTGATGTATTGTTGAAGAAGAAGTTTTAAAACAACAAAATTTAAGGTCAAAAATAAAACAAAGTTCTATTTGTGTGTGTGTGTGTGTGTGTGTGTGTGTGTGTGTGTGTGTGTGTGTGTGTGTGTGTGTGTGTGTGTGTGTGTGTGTGTGTGCGCGCGCGCGCTACTCACAGCACGGCATTGCTATCAAGGTTGAATTACTTCGAATTCTAATTCAAAAATACTTTATTAATCCCAGAGGGAAATTAAGAGTTTCAGTACACACAATTCTGAGATCAGACATGTCGCGTGCCCGTCCCATTTACCGGTTCCGTTAGAACTTATGAGACGGTGCATCCATCAGGGTTCTAGGGGATGTTGGCGAGTTTTATCGTATCAGATCCGGGTTTGGACCACCTAATTAGAATCGTGTCTTTTATTTTAAAGGTGAAATTACTTGCACGAATAGCAATCCCCAGAGTACTCCACTTCTTTTAAACTCGTTACCTTTTGGTTAAGATACTAGAGAGAAGTCTGGAGGCAAGCCAAGCCTCTCAGCAATTGTTTGGGTTATCTGGATTAATTGCGCCTCTAACAGCTTATGTGGGAGGTTGGTAACTATAAAATGATTTATGATAGTTGATCAGGCTAACATAAGTTTATCAATTTACTTAATTAATCAAACCTCTCCAGCTGGTAGAGACTTTTTCAACCTGCAATTCAGAGCCAAAAATAACCTCAAATATTCTGATTTTATCGCCCTTAAGACAACTCGTTACTCGCAAGGAGGGGGGAGTTAAAACTCCCCTTATCTTAAGGTTTCTTTATATTATTCTATTACAAACTGCAAAGTAAGTCCTGATAATTCAGAGACCTGTGATCGACAAGCTTACCTCTGTGCAATTATGGCCAGGGCCCCCAACCGTGAAGCTTTAGAGAAAACCTGAAAGAATCAGGATTATGTTTCTTTTTCAAAAAAGGTTTATTACAAAATCAAAAATACAAAAATGGGTAAATAAAAAACAACTGCTATCCCCCAAGGAGGAATTTGTTCAAAATGATTAAATAAGAGTTAGTTTACACTAGCTCCTGTCTTCTGAGAATCTTCCGTCCAGCTCTCGTTTTGGAATCTCCAAAGTCCTGTCATCCCCCATCCAGGTTTGGACGGGGGATGACCCCTCCAAAATCTGCTCAGTCTCTTCTTGTCGCCTGCCCCAGCTCTCTCTCTCAATCTCTCTCTGCTGTTCAGAGCTGTTCTTATATACCCTTCCTGGGCCAGCTTAAGGTCATGGGGTCATTTACCAGATACACACTTTGTAGCTCAACACAAAACATTTGGTGTCATTTTCACTACATGCAGCATTCTTCTTAACACAGGTCATTACATCATCTTTTGCAGTATTCTTCAGTTTCTCTCCAATGTTCCCGAGAGGGCTTCTGGATCTGATGGGCTTGTCTTCACTCTGTTCTCCTCCAATCCCATCTTTCCAAGCCAGGGATGGATCCAGGTGTGGGGCCAGCCAACCTGACCTTTTGCCCAGTTCTGTCCTCTTGTCCCTGTGACCCTTGTGTGACCCTTGTTTCTGACCACAGTTTTTTGACCTGCAGCCCAGCTCCTGTCGGCTGGCTGATTTTGCTCGCACAAGCCAGTCCAGTGTGGCTCACCTTTTGACCCCATACTTGCCACTGTCTTTGGCATGTGGGGACTCGCAACAGACATACATACATAGACACATGACAAGAATTGGTGACTGTGGTCATTCACAACCCGAGTCGCTCTACCGTAATAGATCAAGAGGGTTTATATGAGGATAGAGTCGGGGGAGGGAAAAAAGGCACTTCAGTTACCCTCACCAGGGACGGTAGCTTTGCTATGCAAAAAACATTGCAGACAGAAATGCACACAGACTTCAGACATCACACAACATAAGTGTCCACTAGGTGGGGAGGTAGGATTGGGACTCTCCTCACTTCAGTCTGTGCAGCCGCATGGGGCAGCGCTCAACACCTCCGTTTGGACAGGGGAGGGAGATAATGGGTTAGAGAGCACAGTGACTCCTAGATACGGTTCCACGGCCTTCACAGGTCACAGTCCCACCCGGGCTGGGATAAGGAGAAAGGATTTACATAGCAACGGCAGCATTCCACATTTCTTCTGAGGGGGGAGTTACCACTTCAGCCTAACAGGCTTCAAGGGCACCAGATTCAGATAAGAATTGTTTTGGGGACAGACAGAGATAATTTCCTCTCTGCCTTAGAGTTCTGTTGGTCTCCAACCCCTCTAGATCCAATAATGGCGTAATGAATCTATCCCAATCCGTGCTGCCCCGTCCACTCTGTCCTTGATGGAATCCACCTTCTGTACCAGAGCCTGAATCTCAGCCAAAGTTCCAAGCTTACCACTCATCTCGACAATTATATGAGTTTGTGTGTTCACAGCACGGTGTAATCCATCCCTGAGCTCCGGGATTGAGCCAGTATTCCTCAAAAGCTTGTCAATTTTCCGGTAAGCCAGGTA